GGTGACCCCAGACTTTCTTATGGATTTGCCTCGTATGGAAATCATCTTTTCAGAGCTCTCTCACAACTTCTTAAGGAGGGGAATCATTTTATCAAGTGTACAGTACAATGTCCACATTAAAAGAAAGTTGCCCTGTCCAGGGTGGCTTAGCTGGGCGGAGCATTGTCCTGTAAATGGAAAGACAGCAGGTTCGATGCCCAGTCAGGGCATGTACCCAGGTTGAGGGCCTGGTCCTGGTCTCGGTAGACCGGGGTGCCTACAAGAGGCAGCAAATCAACATTTCTCTCTCACACTGTTTCTCTCCCACTTTTTCTCCCTCCCTTCCCCTCTCTCTAAAAATCAATAAACATGTCAGGCCAGGATGGAACAAACAAAAGAAATAAGTAGTTACTCAGCCATTTTATGGTTCCTCACACTCGATTTTGTGCAGAATTTTTGGCAGAGGAAGACCTAGTGCTAAGGATTCATCACTGTGGTCTAATAACTTGTATCAACTAGACCACAGCAACTCAGAGGCTCTTAGCCCACAGCAACTTGTATTGTGTCTTACCTGACTTTAAATGAACATGATACTTATTAATCATGGTGAGTTCAACACAGGTGTTCACTCACAAAATGTCACAGTAAAGGGATAAAAATAACAAAAACAAACCCACAAAGACAGCATGAACAGGAGAAAGGTACACAGAGAAACAGCCTCTTTTTCTTCTTTTTAGTTTAGATTTTATTTATTTAGTTTTAGAGAGAGGGGAAGGGAGAAAGAGAGTGAGAGAGAGAAACATTGACTAGTTGCCTCGCACCCACACTCCAACCGGGACAGCCTGCAACCCAGGCGTGTGCCCTGACTGGGAATCGAACTGGCAACCTTTTGCTTTGCAGGTCGACGCTCAGCCAACTGAGCCGCACCAGTCAAGGCAGGACACAGCTTCTTACATAAACTTTCCACCAGCCTCTCTGTCTTCAAGCCCTCCCGGCACCCTGGCTGGCGAGTGCATGGTGCTGTGAAGTTTGGAGCCTCTTCAGAGTTCTGTGGCATAAACTGGCTTACTTTCTGTTGGCTTTTCCGCACTGCAAGCCTACAGTTTGGCTTTGTGTGGTTGTTGAAGTTGGCGTCTGCTATTCCATCAGCTTCCCAGGTTCTAAAAGAGCTGTCATTTCTCATCTGTTCCATCTCCTCTTTTTCTCTTTGCCTTATGGGTTCATGCTTTTTGTTTCCTTTCTGTCATTTTAGTTAGATTTCAGGAGGAATGGTAATAAACCTGAGTTCAATTTGGCAAGTTTAACTGAAAGTCCTCTTTTCCTTGTTCTTTATGTTTTATCGTTTGCCTGGTCTCCACAACAAGAACGTGAGTTAATTTCAAGAAAACCACTGTTGTGTTATTTACACATTGGTATGGTACTTTTCAATTGGGAGTTCTAATGTCTGTGGCTGTTACCGACTGCCTTGACTTGCACGCACAGGAACCCTTGGGGGTACATGAAAGACTTTTCGGGAACACTGGTAATTTCCAGGCCTTCAGCCGCCATCAGTGCCCTCTCCTTACATTCAACTGAGAATGCCTGCAGCCCAGGTATCACACTGACTGTCCTTGTTCCCTTCCTCTTTCATAATACCTTTCTCAATCTTTACTATGTACACACACACACGAAATCTTCCTATGGCACGATTTTCCCGTGTAAAAATCTGCAGGGCAGCATACGGAAATAAAATTGAGACATTACTTTTGGTCAACTTTTTTCAATTAAGGGGCCATAACCCAAGGTCTACCCTCCACCTTCTCTCTCTCTCTCTCTGTATCTCTCCCCGTATCTCTCATCTATACAATTTTTTCTGTCAAGAACACAGCCTGGAGCCCTGAGCAGTGTGGCTCAGTTGGTGGGTGTCATCCCATAAAACAATGGCCATGGGTTGGATTCCTGTCAGGGCACAGGCCTGGGTTGCGGGTTCAGTCACCAGTCGAGGGGCGTGTAAGAGGCAACTGAATGATGTTTCTCTGCCCCTCTTGCTTCCTCCTTTCCCCTCTCTCTAAAAATAATTAACTTTAAAAGAAAGAACACTCCCTGGTGTCAGAAAATGAATATTTGTGGTATGTCTGAATTTACATATATCATAGAGTGGGGGAAGGGAAGCAATAACAACAATTTTTAATTGAAGACTTTCACTCTTCTATCTTTTTTTCAAAGAAAGCATCGCTCCTGAGGAGAGTCCTGTGATAGAAAAACAAAGAAAACAAACATGAGAAATGTTGAAGGTGGTGACACCTTATTTCTTCCAGCTAATGGCAAAATTCTATACCTCATCTACCTACCTGAGGACAGTCACTTGAAATCCATAAAAAACAAAAAAAACAAAAACCCCTGGATTGTAAACATTATTTTCCAATTTAAAATCAGGGCAGGTCCCTTGGACAAATGGTTGGTTCCAAAAATGGGGCAGGGAGGCAAGATGAATCTGGAATGTCTTGTTGTCCCAGTAGGAAAACCCTAAAAAAGAAAAAAAAAAAGAGGATTTCTTGAAAGAATGAAAGAGCCAATCTGAAGGAGCTCTCCTGATAGCCAATGGTGGAACAATTTGAGCAACAAAATAAATAATGGCATTATTGGATATTAAGCCACATAACAAAATAAAACACCCATGAGTCCATACTATAAAGAATTGATTAAATAAGTTGGGGAGGTGAGACAGCTCTTCTGTATAAAATTCCAATTAGTGTAGAAGAAGATAGAAACTCACCACTGACAAAACATCACAGTAATACCTGTCATACTCATGGATACGGAGGACATTCTGACGGTTTCCTGAGGGGAGGGGTTTGGGCTGGATGAAGGAAGTGAAGGGATTAAAAGCACAAACTGGCAGTCACAGAACAGTCACAGGGAGGTACAGTACAGCATAGGGAATACAGTCAATAATACTGTACTAACTATGGATGGTGCCAGGAGGGTACTAGACTTATTGAGGGGACCGCTTTGTAGGTTATGTGTCTAACCACTGGGTTGTGCACCTGAAACTAATTCAGTGTTGAATATCAACTGTAATAGAAAAGTTAAAACAATGTTTAAAATACTAACAATGCCCTCGTCCTCCAAATAACTATCAGAGACAACATCCACTGAAACTGGCAGGCATGAGGAGTAGCAATCTGCATAGTCTCCAAGTACCACCCCCCCAGAGATCTGTTAACTAAAAGGGAAAGATGGGAACTGCACCATGGGCGAACCACCATGACCAAGTGATCAAGGTCAGTATCACCAATAATATATATGACATACTGATATTAGGAATCCTGAGATACCATGGATTAGGGACACTTCATTTCATAATTTCAGTTTGATCATGAGAAGACAACAGACAAACCAAACCCGAGGAACATTAGACAAAATAACTCATAAATACTGTTTGAAAGTGACTCGGGCCTGAAAGACAGATGGAGCTGTTACCGACAGTAGCAGACTTAGAAATAAGTAAGTGCATTTCCTGAGTAATATTCTGGAACAGATAAAGGACATTAGTGGGAAAACTGGTGAAATACGAATAAAGTTTTCTTAAAATTTTTACCACATTAATTTCTCAGTTCCAATCATTGTACCCTGGTTACATAAGACACAAATATTAGGGGAAGCTAGTTGAGGTATATATGAAAATTGTAATATTTTTACAACTTTTCTGTAAACCTATAAGCAATTCAAAGTAAAAAGTGAAAACAATAAATAAAACCATGAATACGAAGTACATCTTCTGTGCACTTTCTTCACACTCAGTGCTAACTTGCGGCCTAATGCAGTATTTTGATTCCAGAGCAAAATTTTGATCTTGTACAGTCATACCAACAAATGTTGGGGGATGGCAGCCTAGGATCTAGTGACTCCTTTCAAAATGGTTGTGGTTGAAAAAGAATACATGTCCTAAAGACCGGCATTGAGTAAAAAGCAAACAGGTAACAGAGGTGTAAGCCTGTGAGCACAAACTCTGAATTTTATTTCACTGCAAGTGATGTAACTTATGTACACAATTTTTCCTCTTCTAAGTTCTCTAACATCTGAAATTGCCCTTAAAGAGACTACACTGTAAAATGTGTTTAATTACTTACTAATTTATTAAGTTTCCCTGTCAATGAATACATCCTGTGAGGAGCCTTTGAAGGATGTTTGGAGAGTTCCCTGACCAGACTGAAAGCAGGTGGCTCCGTAAAACTTGCAGCGTCAAGTTCAACGTTGAAATAGAAGCCCATTTTCTTCCAAAGTAATTTTCTCTCTCTTTCTGATAAAAGTGTAGAAAAGACATTTATAATTTTAAAAACCTGTATTTGAACACAAATCAAGATTTTTCTACAAACACCTTTCTAAAAAGTTTAAAAGACATCACAGAATAATATGTGATGTTAAAGAAAAGCATCTCACCACAGCAGAGTAATTTACTTTTAAGAAGTAGTGTAGTATTTTTTAAGCTTTCACGGTAGATTGTGAGTGTGTATGTGCTACATTACCCCACCAGGTTGATCCATGTCTTTCATATTTATTAATCAACTGTTGTATATGGCCAGTTACCACGCAAACTGTACTACTGCAATTGCAAAAATGGTACAAGGCTATCTTTATGAAAGCTTAACAAAAGTTAATGAAAGGCAACCAACATCACCCTAATCTTCTGTAAAAATTATACCTTTCTCCCTCTTACTTTCCTTTCCCCTTTGAATGGTACCTTTACAGCATATTAACACATGGAGATATTTCTATCACTTTTACTTGCTAGCCTTAAAAGACTATTTTCTTTTCTGATACACTGAATGTATCAGAAGGCACCAAGATTAGATTCTTAAACTGGTTCAGAATTTTTGTTCCTTTTTCAGTTCTTCAGAAAAGTGCAACTCTCAGGACCAGAAGAAAATGATACAACACAGTAACTTGAAACTTTCACCATCGAAAAGGTAGAAATATATTAATAGATTCCTTGAACTTTTCATTTAGGACAAGTCAAAATAACATTCTGAACATAAACATAAAAATAGAGCACATTTATTAACAGTAGGAAAACTCCTAAGCTTATAATAACAATGTACATAACAACATACAGATGAAAGCATTAGGAACTCACTGCCAGATAATCTGATGCATTGTCCTAAAATATGCGTCATATGTAACACTAACATAACAAAGTACAGCATTTACTTCAGAGGGAGAATAGATAAGCTTTATCACAAAAAAAAGATTTACTGGATTTTAGCTTTTGATGAAAGATTATGATATATTTTAAAGATAAAAAAGAAAAACAAGATTCACTCTTAAAATAAAAAAGTATATATCTATATATAATCCATTTATGAATACTTTTATGCTCTTACAATGTAAAACATTTAGAAACTTTTGAGCTCTCCAAATTTTGGCCAGTTAACCTCCTTGGCTCTGACATAGCCTAAGTTCCCTTCTGAGAATCAGAGGGAAGTTTTCGGTCCATCAGTCCAGCATGGGTGCAGCGATTCTACTTCATCTTCTTCTTCTTTGGGGGTTCCTCCTCGGAGCTGCTCTCGGTGCTGGCGCTGCTGGTGCTGGAAGAGCTGGAATCTGAGTCGGAATCGGACGAGGAGGATGAGCTTGTGGAGGAGGCTGAGGATGATGAACTGGAGGAACTTTCATCAGTGTCACTGTCCTCAGAGGAGGAGGAGGAGGAGGAAGACGTTCCTTCACTATCTGATGACGAATCACTGGCTGAACTGTCACTGCTGCTGCTACTGGAACTGGTTACGCTCTTAGACCTGTTAGAAAATCAACAGTTACACGTGAATGGGAAGCTGACGTTTAGTAGTAGAATGTTCATTTCCTATGAACGCTATGTACACACACACAGTGAAGCTCTGCTAGCATGGTGGTCCGAGATCGGATGCTTTGGGGGCTGCCTGACTATTGCAACCACAGATGCGTCCCTCCCTTAGCAAGGTCTTGTGCTTCAGCAATTCAGATCTCTCGGATGAGATCCAAGTTCAGTGTATCTAGTACGTGCCACAGCAAATAATATTAGAATAAAGTTGCATTCTAACAGCTGGGTTTATTTAAACCTCATGAAGAGTGGTAAATGTTTCATAATCTTAACTACTTTATATAGATACAGCTGGTCAACAATTTCTTATCAGTCTAATAACATTTCCTATTCTAAGCTAGAAGGAATTATTTACTATTTCCAGGCAGAAGGACTCTGAAAAGTAGGACAAAAAGGAGACATCTACATTCTAAAGGCAATAAATTCCAATAGGTTAAGGGAAGAACACAGAAAAATAGGATGATATTTAACCATAAATTGCAAACACGAAACTTCAGGTCCAAATCTTGTAACTGCTATTTCAAAATCACTCTTCCCACCTCCAAGTAGTATTACACACTGACTATATGATACTCTCGAAACCACACATACCTTTTTTTCTTGGTCTTTCTTTCTACATTAGCTTCTTCAAGGCTGTTAAACACGAGGGGGAGAGAAACTCCTGTCAGTAGAGTCATTAGGCACAGCTCAGACCAAACCTGTCATCCCCGACACCGTTTCCCATCGGAGAAATACTTTGTCTACTATAACGTGGACTCAGAGTCCAGTATTCCTTGTCACAACCAAACGGAAAGTTTCCTACTTATTGCAGGCAGTATGTGGTACAGAGAGTCAACCAGCACTGGCGTAAGACGTGCCATCTACCAACTGTATCTCAGAAGCCAGGTAAGTTAGTAGTGAGGGTGACTGAATGTGCCAACTGGATTCTTTTTCAGTTTTGAACTTAGGCTGATATGGCTAAATCAACTACATCCTGAATAACAAGACGAAGTAAACAACAGCACAACAGGTATAATTTATGACTGGAGTTTCCCGAGGCATATTATAAATGGCCATTTCATATAAAAAGAGAAGCAACCTTTAATGTAACATAACCATTTCTTTTTCCACATGTCCCCGAGATGTTCAGTCATTTACTACAACAGACAACACTTGAAGAGTGTCCCCCCACCCCCATTATTTACAAAGAATAAAGCCTGGTGACTTTTGAATGAAATACACAAATGGCTTGCTGTTGTGTTCCTGCCAAACAGCATGCACACTAAATCAGGTTTTCAATTACAAAATATCTTCTATTATTAGCATTATCATGTAAATTTAACATTTCTATGTTCTGGACTTCTCTATATTTCTGAAGTAATGCCTCTATCCTTATTCCTTGAGCCTTCAAATATAAATATATATGTATGTAAACTTGTTTTACACAATGGAATTACTGAACTGTCATTTTGGGGTTAAAACGAATGGGAGAAGTACATTTGCTAACCACAGCACAGGAATCCATGATCACTGAAATTCACACATTCCCGTAGTTTTATCATTAAACCAAAATCAGTTAATGTCACAGCTGCATCTAAAACTCACGTTTAGACACGAGGTGAGTCTATATATTTTAAGATCCAGCTACTTGGGTAATACAACTAGAAAAACACAAGTAAAGGTAAATGTTGGGATTAAGTTATTTATAACTCTTATATTTTATTTTTTAGGGAAGAAGTCTTCAAACTTTTTTGCTTACATTCCTAATAAAAGAATTTTGAAAAACTATGTGTTTCCCTCACAGTATTTTAATTCTAGGTTTCAATATTTGTAAAGGTTTAAATGGCATATTATATATTGCTATTTTAAGAAGAAAATTGTTATAGGACATTGATAACTGTATCCAATGAAAAATGTCACAAAAATTTGACACCTACTGTAATTCACTTATAAAACACAAGAACAAGCTTATCTTTAACAGCTGGTACTCTTACACTGCCCTTTTTTTCCTTTTGAACTTCTTTTTTACTGCTTTCCCCATAAAATGTATCCTATTTTTACACCTAAAAATTTTACTGATCACTTATGAAACTTTTTTGTAGTAAAAATATAGATATAACTTGAAATTATATCTTCTAATTACCTGATCATAAAGCTTTAAAAGTGTTTAAAAATTCTGAACTGAGTTACCATTACTATAAAATTGATTAAAATAATGTAAAAATATAAATTTAATAACTATCACATAAAATAATTTATTGAAATTACATCTCTTAATGACATGGATAGATTTTTTTCCAGTTTATCCATGAATCTTAATACTAGACTATGACAAGGTTCAGCATCTGTTCAATTCCTATATTTAATTTTTATAGATTTATCCTGATAAACCTGGTTAACTTAAATAGGTAGATGGAAATAGGAGTTTTGTTGTAGCAATGCCAGTCAACTCTGACCTCTTTCCATGTTACATTCCACAGCTAACATAATGATGTGTCATTAAAATATACTTATATAAATTGACAACTCAATTGGGTCCGATTTCAATTTTGCTGGGAAAAAATTTACAAAATAATTTACTCTCAATAATCAGGACCATTCATTTTCTCAGTACAAGTACCTGTAGCATTTTGATAAATCTCTAGGTTTTTTCACATGAGGACAATACCCAGAGGGAAGAGCAGAGATAGGTGAGAGGTATGCCTTTCTTTTGTGAAATTCAGGGTGTTGGGAACGTGGAAATGGAGAACCAGGAGGGAAGTTCTCATACAGATTTATCTTTGGAAAAAGTATGTATGAATATTGATAATCCAGACACTGATTACTGAATTATTCCTACATAACCCTTGAAGAGCCTCATACCCACAAATCGGAAGGCAGCTGCCTTGAAAGCCCAGATGTTCACCACACTGTCAGAGAGCTAACGGATCCAGGTGTTCACTGCGCCATCAGAGGGCTAATGGATCCAGGTGTTCACTGCGCCATCAGAGGGCTAATGGATCCAGGTGTTCACTGCGCCATCAGAGGGCTAATGGATCCAGGTGTTCATCACACCGTCAGAGAACTAATGGTCTTGAAGACGCAGCTTCTAACCTGTAGCCCTAAGCCTACCAGACCACTTCCTCTCTTGGTTTCTCTAGAATGTGTACATTCACTTCCTTCATGGGAATTTTAAAGGCTCTATTCCAGGTACTACACTTGGTCTTAGCCAAAAGGCCGGGAAGTGATGAAAGGGACATCAAAAGTTAAGTTACAATTTTCCACTTTCTTTCCTACCCAGTTCTCCTTTTAGAAAGGAACTACTATTATTGGTCATTTATGTTTTCAAAAAATTCCCACTATTCCTTTTTAATTCTTTAACATAAGGGATACCATATTATATATACTGTTCTCTACTTGGTCTACGTACTTAATGTAAGTATCTTGGATACTTATATTGGTTACCTTTTCCTATCAGCTCCCCAAATTCACCATGTAGTACTCTGTTGTCATGGCCTTGGTAGTTGAGACAACAAAGCAAAATGATGAAGAGCATGTGTTCTGAAGAGACTGATTGGTTGAACACCTGATGTCTCCACTTACTGGCTGTGTGACACTGAATGAGTTACTGAACTTCTCCATACCTCGGTTTCCTCACCTGTAAAATGGGGATTAATAACAGTACCTACCTTTATGTGACAGATCTGACACTGACACTTAAGTATACCGCTACTTTTTAGGTCCTTGATAGATTCTATATAGATTAAAATATTCCTTTGGATACCATGTATAAACTTACCTTTGTTGTAATAATCTGTTTTCTTTTTCTTTTAAAGCTTTCTTTAGTTCTGCTGTTCTTGAAGGCCTATGTAGGTATTTTCTTTTTCCCGTGCATTCATAAGTCCAATGTCCAAATTCCAAGCATTTCTGACACCTTACATGTTGCTTATTTGCTTCGCTACAGAACGAAAATCAGAATACAGGCCTTAAAATTCGGACTTGACATAGTCTGCCCTGAAAATCATCAACAACAGGAAGTGTAAAATGATGTTTAGTTTTAAATAGAAAATAACATCATTTCACACTTTAAATGGTTTATGTTAGATTTAATCATAAGACAGTACAGGACCACGAGGTTCGGACAGAATTGAGCTTGACTCTTTATCCCTCACTTCCACTGCAGCAACTGTAGGCTGGGTAACTCAAACAACCCTGCGGCTGAGAACTAGAAAAGACAGTCAAAACATTTAAAACCACCTGCCTGAGGCATCGGAGAGCTAACGAGAAGGTAAAGAATAACCAAGCCGAGATGTGGAAGAAGATGGAAACCCAGGAGATGAGCCCTGTAGTCTGTACCCAGCGTCAGGGCTCCGAGGGGCTCTCCCAGAGGAGAACGACCAGCAGCACACAGAGAGCAGCTCGGTTCCTAGACATCTAGAGACTAAGAAAAATTCCAGTTCCTGCAATTGAATTAAGATGCAGCAAGCAAAAATAAATAAATATATACAATAAATAGATGAAAGAATTGGAAAGGAAGAAATAAAATTGTCATTCCTCATTGGTGACGTATTATGTACATAGCAAATACAAAAGAATTTATAGATAAAATATATGAAATAATTTGAATTCAGAAGTGAGTTTAGCAAGGCTTTGGACTAGGGTCAGAAAACTGTAAAGTCATGTAGTAAATATTTTAGGCTTCGCAGACCAAGAGGCAAGAGTGAGGATATTATACAGACACATAATAGGAGAGAAAAAATTTTCATAAATATCTTGTTAATAAAAATACTTCAGGTAAAAGAGGTTTACTAATGAGAAGAATGGAGTTCCTTTCTGAAGGATCCCATTTCATCAATTGAAGGTCAAAGTCAGTGTTCCCTATTATTGAACTGATCACATATACCAACATACATTCGAAGATAACTTTCTTAGCTTGTACGCATACAAGAACATGCGGCAGGCAGGATTCAGTCTGCCGAACGCTGTGATAGATACAAGGTCAACGTGTGAAAATGAATTGTTTCTATATAATAAAAACAGTTAAAATGAAAAATTAAAAGGTGACATTTATAATATCCTGAAAAATACCAAATACCCAGAAATAAACTGAAGAAAATACATGCAAGTCTTTTTGCAGAAAACGAACCATTACTTATTTAGACAAACAACTAATAGAGGGACATACCTTGTTCATAGATTGGAAGACTCAATATTGTAAAAACATCCTTTCTCCCCAAACTGACCTATAGATCAAAGTAATGCCAGTAAAATCTCAACAGGTTTGTTTGTTGGGTGGAAAAGGCCTATAAGAGAAATATCTGAAAGTCTGCCAAAATGAGCTGAGACTAGAGAAAAATATCAAGAACACCAGAAATTGTTTCACTTTGTGTCTTAGTTATATTGAGAGCACAAAGAATGGAAGAAAAGATAGGTTTATACTACTTGCCATTCTAGGCAAACAGGCCACCAATATCACGTTAACGGGCTGAGAGAACGAGCAGGACTATTTTATTTCGCTTCAGTCGGAACCCAGATACAATTATACAGAGAATGAAAAGAGTACAACTAAAGTCCAAGATATTTGAGGAGGAAGTAACACAGCCCCTATGCATTCTGAATGTATTTAAGTCACATGTCCGGGTGATTGCTCCTTGATATATCAGAACTTTCCAGGTGAGGCTACTGGGCCACTGCTGGTACCTGAGGAACTCTGGCTCACAGGAGCGGTGCTGAAAGACCAGAAGTAGCCAAATGCCGTTTTGATTCTAGAAAGTGGGGAAAAGGGTAGATTCTGCAAATTAAACCAGTGAACTTAACATCCATCCCAGTCAAAATTCTGGCTGGGTTTAATGAATTGATTCAGAAAGAAAAGCCATGGCCTCAAGGTATCCAGTTTTTACAGACGAATGCCACACTGCCTTCTGGGCAACTGTATTTCAGTAGGGCAACCTGGAACGTCACAATATTCTTGTGAACAAAACAGAACAGTTAGACTTGGAGCCAAGATGGAGACGTAGGTAGACACACTGTGCCTCCTCGCACAACCAAAAGGACAACGATTTAAAAACAAAAACCAACCAGAACTGACAGAAAATTGGACTGTATGAAAGTCCAACAACCAAGGAGTTAAAAAAGACACACTCATCCAGACTGGTAAAAGGGGCAGAGTTGGGTGGCTGGGTGGAAAATGGTCATGGCAAGGTGGCAGTAGAGGACCTGGACACGCAAGGTGGTGGCTGGTAGAGCAGGTGGTCCCACATTTGCATGCGGATAAACCGGGAGGAACACCTGCGGAGCGAGACAGACTTCAAAACCCAGAGCTCCAGTGGGGAAATAAAGTCTCAAACCACTGACTAAAAACACCCGTGGGGGGCTGAGGTGCTGGGATAAACTCCCAGCCTCACAGGAGAGTTTGTTAGACAGACCCACAGGGTCCTAGAATGTACACAAGCCCACCCACCCGGAAATCAGCACCAGAAGGGCTCGGATTACTTGGAGGAAGCAGGGGAATAGAATGAAATCCAGCAGAGAAGGAGCAAGTGCGACAGTTCCCTCTTGATGCTTTTTCCACATACAAGGAGCGTCACAAGGCAGGGACTTGGGTTGTCTCGCCCTGGGGTACACCTAAGGCTCTGCCCCTTATATGTAGCAGGCATGCCCAGCTGGAAAAAAAAATGGCACAAATAAAAGAACAGATTAAAGCTCCAGCAAAAATACTACTAAGTGACGAAGAGATAGCCAACCTATCAGATGCATAGTTCAAAACACTGGTGATCAGGATGCTCACAGAACTGGTTGAATTTGGTTTCAAATTAGATGAAAAAAATGAAGGCAAAGCTAAGTGAAATAAAGGAGAACATACAGGGAACCAATACTGAAGGGAAGGAAACTGAGACTCAGATCAACGATGTGGACCAGAAGGAAGAAAGAAACATTCAAACAGAAAAGAATGAAGAAACAAGAATTCAAAAAAATGAGGAGAGGCTTAGGAACCTCTAGGACATCTTTAAATGTTCCAACATCTGAATTATAAGGGGTGTCAGAAGGAGAGGAGAAAGAGCAACAAATTTTATTCAAAACTTATTTGAATAAACAATGAAGGAAATCTTCCCCAATCTGGCAAAGGAAATAGACTTCCAGGAAGTCCAGGAAGCTCAGAGAGTCCCAAAGAAGTTGGACCCAAGGAGGAACACACCAAGGTACATCATAATCACATTACTCAAGATTAAAGATAAGGAGAGAATCGTAAAAGCAGCAACACAAAAGGAGAGTTATCTACAATGGAGTACCTATAATACTGTCAGCTGATTTCTCAAAAGATACCCTACAGGCAAGAAGGGGCTGGAAAGAAGTATTCCAAGTCATGAATGGCAAGGATCTACATCCAAGACTGCTCTATCCAGCAAAGCTTTCATTTAGAATGGAAGGACAGATAAAGTGCTTCCCAGATAAGGTCAAGTTAAAGGAATTCATCATCACCAAGCCCATATTATAAGAAGTGTTAAAGGGATTTATCTAAGAAAAAGATAAAAAATATGAACAGTAAAATGACAGCAAACTCACAGTTATTAACAACCACACCTAAAACAAAAACAAAAGCAAACTAAGCAAACAATTAGAACAGGAACAGAACTACAGAAATGGAGATCACATGGAGGGTTATCAACAGGGGAGTGGGAGACAGGGGGAAAAGGTACAGAGCATAAGTACCATAAATGGTAGGTAGAAAATAGACAGGGGGAGGTTAAGAATAGTATAGGAAATAAAGAAGCCAAAGGACTAATATGTATGACACATGGACATGAACTAGAGGGAGGGAATGTGGGTGCGAGGGAATGTGCAGAATAGAGGGGAATAAAAGGAGGGGAAATGAGACAACTGTAATAGCATAATCAATAAAATATACTTAAACAAAACAACAATTAAGCAGATCAGTTGAATATCATGAGCAAAGAATACTGCTTTAACAGGCTGAAGTAAATTATCTACAGGTAGGTATCCAGGGATAGGACACAGATGTGCATATTTATCAACTCTGCAGTTGACACAAAGCTGGGAGGGATATCTAATATCACAGATGACTGAATAGGATCCAATAAGGGCTTGACAGACTGGAACTCCATGCTGAATCTAACAAGATGAAATTTAACAAGGGTAAGAGTAAATCTGATATTCAAGTTCAGAAAAATCAGTGTAAGTACAAGACAGGGGAAGTCTGACTTGACGGCAACTCAAATGGAAAAAGCCAACTGAAGTCAGTTTAGGTCATAAGCTGGGAAGTTAGAAGGGAGCAGGGTTTAGCTTCATAAATATTCTTTTCCTTTCAGTTCAGCATAAACTTTCTGACAGATTTGAAAAATGTAACAGGCCACTTCAGGAGGCGAGTACATCCTCACCAGAGGTCCTCTGGCCAAAGTGAGATGACTCCCCCGAAAAGGCAGCAGTGGAATCCAGCAAAGGTTTGTTCAGTAGAAGAGATGACATCACTTGTGCCCAGATTGCATAATCTACTTACGTGAATAGGAGTACATGTGATTATAACTTAAAAAGTCAAAATAATCGAATTTCCATAGATTTAAAGTGAACTCCCTGAAAGAGCTGCCACATATGGCGTTCGGATTAAGGCTCTTTTTTTGCCCCCTCTTATTTTTCCCTGATAGTCCGAAAACTTTAAAAGAAACAACAGTACTTTCTTACTTCTCTTGGCTAACTTAAAAGCAGTTTAAAACTTGTTTTTATAAAAGTAATATATGCTGTTTATAAATACAATTAAAACAGCCTGACATATATAAAATTAAAAGCAAAGGCCACTTTTCTTCTTTCCCTCAAAAAATATTCCCCAAATTCTCCCAGGCCCCCTACCCCAGCCTCTAAAGGCCCTCCTTTGACTGCCTGCGGACTCATGGTACCATACACCACAACAGCTTTTACCACACCGTGTGTTTACTTCCCCAAAAGACCAGAAGCACTCAAAGTCAGATTTGTCCTTTACTTCTATGTAGATGTGTACCAAATACAAGTATACTATAGAAACAGAACACCTGCATAACTTTCTGATACTTCTGAAAGAAGAAACAGCAGTGTTCTTTAGGTGCCAAAAGTCTTCCTTTCCCCTCATATTTAGAGTGGACATTGGGTGGTTTTGCCAGTCTAGCAATCTTACTTCTTCTGACCATCTAGCTCCCCACTGATTTGTAGAGATCCAATCAATTGTAAAGGGCAGAGCATGGGATCTAAATCAATCCGAGCTTCACAATCCCATAGGCTTGGTTCCCGGTTGGGCCAATAACCCAATTGAGACCAATGAGACGCCATCAACTGGGAGCTGAGAGGATACAAAAGGACCCTGATACTGCAACCATCTTGACACCAAAGGACTGCACCTATACAAGTATGGGACCAACACCCTAAAGAACCAAACTAGAGAGTGAGAGAGTGGACCCTGGTGATGTCATTGGGCAAGCTTATTATAGTTATCACTGCATTCCTGAACTCACAGCCGACTTCAAAGCCTTCTTACTCCACCAAACATACCACATGCTCTAAGTCTTTAACCCTTCTGCTCAAGGGACTCTTCTCAGCTAGCAAGCGAGACAAGTCTGGTGGAGGGGAGACAAGAGCCCAGGGCTCTCAGAATAAAATCATATAAACATTAAAAGAAATATAAACACATACACATTAGCAGAATGTAAGCAATATATTACTGATGTGCAAATGACCACGGCATGAAATACTGACAGAATGAAAAAGAAGTAGACATTGGGGGTGCAGGTTGGTAGAAGAAAAAGAGCTTTCCCTGAAGAGGGTATCTGGGATGACTCCTGCATTACCTGTCTACAGCCAGTCTCTCCTGCCAGCTCCTTCACTCCCTGGCCACAATGGCCATCGTTGAGTTCTTAAAAACTAACTTTGTTCCTATCCCACTGTCTGGGAGCTCTTTCCTCAAATCCTCGCACGACTGGCTCCTTTCTCACACTCTCAATCTGTGTTCAAACGTCACCTCTTCTTCAGGAATAACTGTGCTATCCAACCAACTTAACCGAGGCTTTTCTCTCTCCACCACCTCTTAGTTCCTTCAAAGTTCTCATCACCACTGTGTTTATTCAAAACGTTTAGCTCGTCGACTCTTCCCGCCACCAGAATGTAAGATCCCCGAAAGCTGGGTTCGTCTCTTTAAACCCCTTTTTCTTTATTCAAAAATTCCGAGTGGCAGGTAATGGGTAAGTTAATGTTGATATAACAGAATGAGTGGCAGAAAGTGACACGATAGCTTGGAAGAAGTCAGCGTTGTAGTCAGGCTGTTCCTAGGACAAGCGACGGGAAGGGGGCAGGAAAAGCCAGCGAGGCTCCCGGCCGCATATACCAGGCTGAAGGTTTACGTGGCGAGAGTAAGGAGTCGGGATCAGGGCTTCAGGCTTCCCCTGGCCACGAGTGGACTGGACGGCTGGGTGGGCAGAGGGGCACAAACCGCGTAGGGACTAACTCCTCTGCGTCCCCTTCTGGGAAACCAAACTCCAGGCTTCCTTTAGACCCCCCACCCCCGGGTCCCGCCCCGGGCACCCTGTGCAGCCGTCTTCTACGAAATCGCAAGCCCGTGGACACCAAATTTATCGCCCGCGCCCGAGCCGGGAGCAGGTAACGTATGAGCAAAACGGCCACGCTCTGCCGGTCCCCACTGAGGATCCGACACACGCTGACGCGCTTCTCCCCGCCCCCCCGCCGCCCGACAAGGGCCTTCACTTACGCTTGTCTCCTGGCTATGAGCCGATGCATGGGAGTCGCCATCTTAGCGCGGCTGCGGCCTGCCGCGCTGGGTTTTGGGAAAACTCCTCTTCTGGGCGGGGACTCGAACCCCTGAGGACGCCCGCGTGGGCGGAGCTAGTCTAACCTCCTGGGCTTCGGGGGCTAGCAGTGGGTGTAGTGTCTGGGGTGTGAGTCTCTAGTTTGTAGAAGAGTGAGGGCGGCGGTCTGTCTTGAACAGGGTTTGGAAGGATGAGGACTTACTTGTGCAGTTGACCCTTGAACAACACTGGTTCGAACTGTGCGGGTGCACTTATACGCGGATTTTTTCCCCCGGTAAATACAGTTTCCCTTCCTATCCTTAGACTTTGCATACGCAGATTCAGCCAACCTTGGATGGAGACCATCAATTGAAAGATTGACTTTAGCAAATCATGAAGTGAAAATATATGTTAACTACTTCTATTTTTATGTGTTTCATAGGGACAGTGTAAGGGCCAAGTGATACTATATAAGTAGAGCTTTGTCAATGGGTAAAAGATTACACAAATAATTATTTTAGGATATTTTAACTATTTTGTGTCAGATTATAGAGTTGTTATTGCTTTAAATCCACATTCTTTGAAACATAACGTATTTCTGTCCAGAAGGTATCCAGCTGTGTAATATGAAAATTAGAGACATTTACTGAAGATACAAGAAATACTGTACATAGGACAGTGATGCCTCAATCCCCTCAGGCCCCCTCAAAATAGGCACTTTGGGACCTCACAGAGTTTTCCCAATTGCCATCAGCTACCTCATTGTATTTTCCTCAGTCTCATCGACAGTCTGAAATCTCCTTTCAAACGTGAATTTAGTTTTGGGAAAAGCCAGAAGTTGCAGGGCGCCAAATCGGGGCTATAGTGGGGTGGAGTCACCTGGGTGATTTCATGTTCTGCCAAAAAACTGCACAGGACGTGATGTACCAGCGGGCAGGCATGTTGTCTGATGCGGCTGTCAGTCACCAGTTGCCCATAGCTGTGACCTTCTGAATCATCTAAGTAGTTTCCATGATGATTGTTCAAGCTCAATGCAAAATGTGATGTAGATTGCTTGCTCTATTTCTTCAGGCATTTTGAATGCTCACTCAACGGCGTCTACCACCCCAACTGACTAGTACAGCGGTTATTCGGGTTTGCCCACTCCAGTCTACTCCCCTTGACTGCCAGGTAACGTCAATGTTGTGCAAAACGCTCTTGTTATAGTAACAATAGCTGACTTTGATAGACTTTAAAATGTTTCAGGAACTGAGGATAAAGCATTTAACAAAGAAACTGCTTGTGCATGTGGAGCTTCCATCAGAAAAATAAACAGAGGCAATGTCCAATGAACACCAATATGCTAAAGAAAAATATTGTAACCCTGACTGGTGTGGCTCCGTGTATTAAGTGCTGGCCTGTGAACCAAAAGGTCGCTAGTTCGATTCCCAGTCAGAGCACATGCTTGAGTTGCTGGTCAGGCAACCAATCGATGTATCTCTTGCACATTGATGTTTCCCTCCCTTCCCCTTTCTCTAAAAATAAATAAATAAATAAATACTTTTTTAAAAAGCAAAAGTGTTATAGTTAAGTGTAAGGGGGTAAAAAGAGATTTAGCATTGGGAGAGCCAAAAGGTGATGTCATGTGACCTTTGAGCACATATTGTTCTCAAAAAAAACAGGAATCTTCAACTTGCTTTGTTCATTCCTCAGTGTACTCGGGGCCATCTTTTTCCATATTAGCACATACAGATCTAATTCATTCTTTTTATGATTATGTTATGTGGATTACATGGTTATTCCACAATTTATCCAAACCAGTATCCTATTGTTGAACAATTAGGTTGTTTACTACAAAGATGGAATAAACAGATTTCTAAGCATGCACTGTACTTCTGTAAGATGGTACAGTGAAGCTTCCTAGAAGTAAAATTGCTGGGTGAAAGGATATGAGCACTTTGAATTTTGAAAGATATCATCTATTACCCTTTCAATAGATTGTACCCATAACTGCTTTCTCAGGAGACTTAAGAAGGGCCAAGCCTTAACTTTTGCCTATCGAATAAACCAGAATGATATGTTATTGATGAGGGTAAATACCTTTCATAGTATTACTGAAGACTGTCCTTTATGAGTTGTCTGCTCAAATTCTTTGCCTATTTTTCTATTGGATTTTTATCTTTCTAATATTGACTTGTAAAACTTTTAATAGTTTACATATACACCCTTTACTTTATATTTGTCTTATTATTTTTGTCTGTTGTCTTTTAACTTTGTGATCATTTTAAAGATTTTCTTTATTTATCTTTAGAAGGGAAGGGAAGGAAAGAGGGAGAGAAATATCAATGTATGGTTGTCTCTCATGGGTCCCCTGCTGGGAACTGGCCTGCAACCCAGGCATGTGCCCTGACTGAGAATCAAACTGGTTAACAGCCCGAGCTCAATCCACTGAGCTACACCAGCTGGGGCATTATGGTTATATTCTTAATCCTAATTTTGAGCTTTTGAAACACCATTTACTAAATAATCTACCACTTCTTTACTGGTTTGAAATGCCACTCTCTCATATACCATATGTACACATTTTGTTTGGACATTGTATTTTCTTCCAAAAATCTATCTGTGCTAGGATTTCTGTCATTGTGTTAATTTCCATGGCATAATTATAAGATACTTGATACCTGGTAAAACAAGTCTCTCCTAATTAGTTCTTTTTTCTCCTCAATTTTTAAATTGCTCCTAAGCATTTACTTTCCTAGTTGAGCTTTATCCTCAAGTTTTTAAGTTTCCCATGAAACAATATTAAGTGTTTTTTGTTAGCTAATTTTTTAAAGAAACTGCATTATAGAAAATGTGAAAAGACAGGACATAGAATGAGGTATAACAAATCTAAAGGAGGAGGCAAATAATGATTTTTTTTGTGATGATTTGGTTGTACACCTGGAAAGCCTACAAGAATTAATTAGAAGTCCTGGCCAGTGTTGCTCAATGGGGTATCATCCTATAAACCAAAAGGTTGCAGGTTTGATTCCGGGTTAGGGCATATGCCTAGGTTTCGAGTTTGGTCCTCAGTCTGGGCATGTGCAAGAAGCAACCCGAAGCAACCCTTGGCCTTTTTCTCTCACATCCATGTTTCTCTCCCTCTTTTTCTTCTCTCCCCCTCTCCCTAGAACCAATAAAGTTTTCTAAAAAAAAAATAATTAAAAGCTTCAGCTTCCCAAACCTCTAGTTTATTTCACAGAAAACAAAACCTCCCAGTAAAAGCATGTGGAAACCTGAAAAAAAAACCACAAAAACTTCTGGAGAGTTCAACATCAAGGACACACACAGAGTAAATTGCTTTTTTAGTGGCAACACCGAGTTGATGTAGCTGTTTCCCACTAAGGGCCACGGGCTTGAGGGACCCTCAGTTTTATCTGGAGGGCCCTGGCTAAAATTCAGGCACTGTTTTGTAAGCTTTAATGAGCAGAAGCTGAAAAAAATGAAAAGCTCCTGTGAAAGCTGAAAGTAATTTTTATCTGGCAAGCATGAACACTTTACTAGTCTCTAAGAAGACTATTCTTTGATTCTAAGAAAACGTCCCCCAGTGACTTCCAGTTCTGTAAGATGCCTCAAAGAACTCACAGAGGGATGGATGTAAAAGGCACGTGTTGGAGGGAAGGTTGCATCTCTCTGAACTAGGCTGTCTTTGGTCAGTGGGCTGTTCCCCGCCCTGACCCTGACCTGCTTATGAGCTCCTGTGGTTAGAGAGCTGTGCACAGACCATGGCACCTTTGTAGTACAAAGGACCCCGTGCTTAGTAAAGTCCCACACTAGGTTTAATGCTCTGCTGTTGCCACGTTGAAATTCTTAATATCTTTTGAATGAGAAGCCCTGCATTTGAATTTTGCACTGGGCCCTATATGTTAGGGAGCTGGTCCTGCACCACAAATAAAGGTGTTTTCACAAGGCCCTGACTCTGAGCTCAGTGAAAACTAGCTGCCCCAGAATCAGGAGAGGAGAGAGAAGACAGCTTCCCTTTTGTCCTGGAATTCAGAATCAGTCTTTTCTTTGAAGATCAGTAGCTACTATTAAAAAAAAATTGTTTTCACCCTGGTGCAAAATCAGATGCGGGTTCTTCCTTCATATGCCTTTGCATACAACAACAACAAAAATAGTTCTCCTTCTAGTAGGGTAAACAAAATTGACTAACTTGGCTAAATAAGGGAGAGGTTTTGGACAGGGAGACTGAAGTTTTGTGAAGTGCGGTGGCCACGCGTGGGGACTGGCAGAAAGGCACTTGGGCCTATGTGGGTGTAAGGCTGGTGCTCTGAGTGGAAAAAGAATGGCTTTTTCAACTGCCCTGGGTGTCGGGCTCAGACGGGTGCCTGGCGTTCCCCGGAATGGGCTGAGAGCTGCCATCCTCAATTATTGCCACTTTCTAAGTGGGCTTGAAAACTAAATACTCAAATGCTGTGTCACATTCTCTTACCTTTAGACACAGCTACTTGGGCCCTGAGGAGTTATTGGGACCTGATGCAATACTTTACGATGACGTAGCATCATAAAATGATCGGGAAGCTGTGTGGTTGTGTGTCCAGGATTTGCTGGTTCCCTCTCTGGTGATTTAAATGGAACCGCAAGAAGCAGAGAAGGAAGTTGCCATTCTGAGAGAAGCAGAGTTGAGAGACAGAGAGAAAAGGACCTACCCAGCCCTGATTGTTTTCTCCTCCCATTCTTTGGGTTATCAGAACTTCCCTTCAGTAAATCCCTTTTATGATTAAGATGGTTCAGTTTGGTCCAAAGAATCCTTGGGAGTAGGATTTATTTCTGTTTTACAAATGAAGAGACTGAGAATCAGACCCTGGATATTGGAGCCAAATTCACCCGGCTCTCTAAGTCCACTGCAGCCCCTACTAGAAGTCTACTGAGACTCAGCCACCTTCGTTAAATAGTTTATTCAAGAGCCACATCCTTGAGCTCTTCTCATTGCACATCTCCCTCTCCTCCCAACCAGTTTTGTTTATTTTGAGATACTATAGAACTAGTTCCCTTTTGTCATTTAGGATTTAATGGCAAGAAACACAAAACAAAACTTTGGCTAAATAAACAATGAATTGATTGGTAGTCTATTGGGTAGCCCGTAGTCTAGAAGGAGGAGTTGCACATTCAGTCTTGAGAAGGTCTTGAACCAGAAAAGTCCAGATCTCAGTACTGAGAATCTGTGTGCTACATCTTTAGGCTTCTGCCAGCAGGTGGTGGGGCCCAAACCCCCGCAGGACTCCTGCCTCATCTCAACAGCCAAGTTCCCTGGTAAGAGTTTACTTGACTTCTCAACGGGTACCCATCCCTCTAGTCCCAGGGAAAGTGACAACTTTTTTAGGTGCTAATGACAGCTGTAAGGGTCTTGGTATCTCACAATCAGTAGCACATCAGAATGAGGAAGATTAGAGGAATACTTCAAGGAATGAATGGTGAGCATTAAAAAACAAAAGATGTACATTATGTCCTGTAATGGGACTGTTCTCTAAGATCTCTCCATGTAAATTTGTCACATCTAGATACAGTGGTAAAGGTAACATAGCGTTTCTGCAAAGGCCTACAAGTGGCCAAACGTTTAGAAGTGCCATATAACAAGTGCAAAGGAAATCAGCTGAAATGGCAAGATGGCGGTGCAGGGAGACACGGCTTGCCTGTTCACACAATCACATCAAAATTACAACTGAAATATAGAACCACCATCAATCGGAACCCTTGGAAATCGAGTTGAATGGAAGTCTGATGACTTTGGAATTAAAGAAACCACATCCATCCAGACTGATTGAAGGGGCGCAGATGAGGAATGGGCTGGTTCCACACCAACCTGTGGTGGATAAAAATTCAGGAGGGGTATCTCCAAAGTGAGAAGCCCCAGCCCCACACCAGGCTCCTCAGCCCAGGGTACCAGTGCTTAGAAGATAAGTCCCCACATCTTCTGGCTGGGAAAACCAGTGGGGATTGAGTTGGTGGAAGAAACCTCTGGAGTCCCAAGCAGTTCCTCTTAAAGAACCCACACATGGACTCACCTACTCAGATTCACTCCCTCTGAGTCCAGCACTGTGGCAGCAGCTTGAAAGGCACCAATGGCATACTGGGAGAAACTGATGTGTCCAGCATCGAGGCAAGTAGAGGCCATTGTCTCTTCGCTAAACACTCCACCCACAGAGTCAGTAAGCTGGTACCATATCTGAGGCTCCATCAACCTGGCAAACACTGTTTAATCTACTTTGGAGATCCCCAGAGACTCTGCCCCACTCAAATTATGGGCCCACCCAGCTGCTTTTCCATATGAATGGCTGCTCTTGGCTCCTGTTTCACAACTTCCTAAATCCTATCAAACAAGTAACAGTTGGCCTCAGTGAGCCCCAGGCCTGGCACTAGCAGCTGCCAGCTTAGATTCTCTAGCTTGGCTTCACCTGGGAATCACCAAGCCCAGCACAAATAGCAGCTGTATCAGGTTTCTTTATAACTCAGGCAGAGTGCCCCAGGCAAAAC